ACAACTTGCCTGATCTTCCTCATTCTTCTCTTTCCCAGCTATAAAACAGGGCTAAATAAAATTTACATGAGTTAATGTGAAAGTAGTGTGAATGTATTCAGCATAGTACGTAAAAGCATGACTTTTAACCCAACAGTGATAATAATGATTTAAATATAACCCAACATATATTTAACACTTGAACTTACTATTGGCACATATTAAAAAAAAAAATTGTCAGATATATGTGTCCCAATTCCTTAAGTTCTCTGTCAAGGAAATAACATTTTATGGAACTTATTTCATGCCTTGTATCAATTTCATGGGACGTTAATGGGCTGTTTGCAGCAAATGCCTGAAGTCTGTAGGAATACACTTCCTAACTTGGAAAAAGAAGAGTGGAAAGCTAGAGGAAGAGGAAGGAAAATGGGAATACGGTGACAATATTGGTACCACTGATCAACTGTAGCAGCTAGATGCACCAAATCCCAATATAGAGCAGCTCTTACAAACACTTGCAGAGCAGGCGACCTGGTCCTGGATTCATGAGCATGGAAATGGATGCTTGAAATAAACGCTGCTCCAAACACTGCATCTTCAAACCAGAGTCTAGAAAAACTGGTACTTTGGAGCACCTGGAATGGTGGGGGGAGAACAGTACCCGCAACTAGAAGAACATTCCTAAACCATCTGACCAATTTTGAGAGTAGTTTCACTCTCAAAGAGGCTCAGAGCAAAGGTCATAAGACTTGCTTAAAGAAGCTCAATTTGCTCTTTCTCCAAAGATATGGTCTCAAATGCCATTGAGACTAAAATTACCAAAATGGTAATATTTTGAACAAACAAAAAGGAATGTAGAAAAAAGCAATATAGACATTTTCAATCACATTTAAATTCTGTTTATCTCCATTTACTTATAAAGGTATAGAGTATTTCTTCTTCTAAAGTGCATTAAGCACAAGCTTTAAGGGGTGTCAGAGATGCATTAGCTTCTATCTAATATTATCATCTTTTGTGCACTGCCAGTTTTTCATTACATCCTCTTTGCCATCATCTGACCCACAGCGGACAGAACTCTTGCTACTAGCAGGCAGCTATTTGTTACACACATGACACTGCCGTATTTTTCTTTAAAAATACTGCCTCTCAAACAGTAAATTCGCTAGCTTACACTCTCAGATAATCCACATGAAATGAGCAACCAGGGAGGGGAAAGGGAGATGAGAGATGGAAGAAAGACAGTTATGAAGGTAAGCAGGGACAGGAAAACTATATGAAAATACATGATTCTAAGACAAATTCCACTTAAGTTACTCATACATGAAATATGCTACACTTCTCCTGAAAAGATCATTTCTTGATTTTATCTTACTTGCATAGCCTGGAGGACAAATATATCTAAATACTGAAGCAGCCGTTAATGTTTTCTATTGGAAAATACTATTCTTGATGATGTCAATTGAGTATTTCCACACATCTGATCTCTACTTGAGCAGCCAGATTTTCAACTCCATTCTGGACCGGAAACCCAGCAGACAAAGTTACCTTGTTCCCGGGCTCTGCAGGGCTGTACAACAGCAAATAAAAGTAAAGACACAAGTAAGTGTTTTTACTTACTTTTTTGTGCATGTTTTTACTTGCTTTTTACATGCAAGTAAAAGACACAAGTGAAGGTTCTCAAATTTGCCTTTTTTCCTCATCAATGCATGTTTTCAAACATGCCTACCTTTTTCATCCTTTCCCAAAGGAAACAAGTAGTAACAGATTTGCCATAAACTCCACGCTACAAGTTATATTTGTCTTGTGTTTCACCAGAAGTGACTACTTTCTGAAGGTATTGGGATAAGGAGAGAGGTAGGGATTGCAGCAGTTCAGTGGACAGGGAGAGGAGCATTCAGCTGCACGTACAAGCAACGCATCCATCTGCTGGACGAGTGCTCTGAATTGATGCAAACCAACAAATGATTCCACAAAAAAACTTGAGCACCCACTGCTAAACTTGAGTTTGAGCTACTTGAGTACCATGAACTAAAGGTGTACTCACATGAAGAACAACTCCACAGGAGTAACTCCCCTATCTAGCAGAATCTAGAATACTTCATTGTATCTTTCTATCCTAAAACTATGAAAGTTTCATCTTTTGAAAAAAAACCTTTTTTTTTCCCCCCAACTGCATTAAATTTAAACAAATATAAAGAAATGTGGTTTACCCATGAACAGCAGCTATGGTGTGCTACTCAAAGCTTGGCCTAAGCACCAGCTAAGAGGTTTTGAATCTCTGTTTTATTCAGGGAGGCAAAATGTTAATGTCCATGGTGGGGAGGGGTTAATGTCCATAGGCAGGGAAAATGGGACATAATCCCCCCAAAAAGGGCATATTGCGCCTGAATAAAATGCTGAAAATAAAAGCGGTCTATTCAAACAGAATGCAAGTTATCACAGTATAACAGAAAGGCACACAATTTGAATTTTTAGCCTAGACGCCTACTCAAAGCCATCAGTATATTCATACTGAAATAATTTGATATTTAAAGATGTGTAAGGGCTTTCACAGTTCAAAGAACTTTTTCATTTATCAGCCATTTTGTGACTAGTCTTCAGAAAGCTAATCTGAATCGCCTGCTTCCACTCATTTCAATTGGATTTATAAGCCAGTAACATTCAAAAAAAGGACTGAGCATCTTAGATTTTTCCTATTTACTTTTTTTTTTTTTTTTTGAGAAAGAAGGGGTAACATTTAAATGTTTAATATATTCACTAGCAACTTAAAAGAAAGGCAAACTTCCTCCCTTATGCAAACATGTAGCATGTCATAGGTTTTCCAAGTGTTCTAAATTCTATTTTTTGGGAGATTATTGTAGGGTTTAGAATGTCATTTTTTAGTCATATGTTGTGGCAGCAAAACTTGGCCATATAAATCATTAGCCATTTCAAAAACATAGCCTGGAATATTTATTTCAAGTTTCAGTAACCTGCACAGAGTTCTGTGTTTTCAAAACAGCTCTGTTTTATTATAATCATGAACGCAGTCACAGCTGAATCACCCTTTTCTGTTCTTTGCAGGTCAAAGGCTACAGGAGCAATTAGATAACAACAACAACCAATACTGCAATTTAGATCACTTGATCCTCCTCAAACCAAACTATTTTTTCACTGGTCACTGGAAATAAATGCAGATTAATCCAACTAAATGACCAAAGAACGCCCCTGGAATACCTCATTTTTGGTTTGTGGGCTACATCATGTTTCTGAGTCTCTGTAACAGAGGGACTATTGCCACCTACTACGGACAGCGGGATGACACTCCTGGGATTAAGAGGGTATGAAAAAAGGCAAAACATGCAGCAACACACAATGAAATCCTACCCAGAAAGTAAACCAAAATTCTTCTCCGCATTTAGTGGAAGAAAGTATTTAACTCAGGAAGTTAAGCTATAGAAAATTTAATAAATTCTAAAACATATGCACAGATATTAGGGAAAAAATGTAAACTATAAGTAAAATTTCCATGGGAGTAACATTTACTCTCCAGGTTAAGATTTATGATTCCAATTAAGCCCTCTCTTCAGTAAGTCATGCAGCAAAATTCAGCAGGAAAAGGCTTTTCAGCTGGCAGGCCAACCCAGCTCATCCTGAAAAGTGCAAGGATTCAACAAACTATTCTCGAAGCATTTTCTGGTATTTCCTGGTTATTTGATGTGCAAACAGAAACAATATTTTTCTTTTAATCTTCTAGGAAACATTCTTCTTCAGCATGTGAGCATCTACATAATTATTTAGTTCCCTAACATTTTTTTTTCAGACAGGATAGGCACATTTTATAGCAAGAAAAGTAGTGTATCACATTCCAGCCATGTTTTTAAATAAGGCTGCCCTGCCTATAATCAAATCTGTAAGAGTCCTCCTACAGTTCATTTTGTTTTATTAAAAGAAAAAAAGTCAGGATAATAATACATGTAATCTACTGAACTGCATCTATAATAAAATAATCTGACACTTCCTGAAAATTGAACCATTCTTCTTTTATGCAGTTCATTAAATAAGCTTTGTAGAAAGAATATTAAAGAATATTTTTTGAGGAGACAAAAAGTATAGTTGACAAAAGTGCCCACACCCAATGCAAAACATCCCATCTAAGGTTATGAAAATGCGTATTTGTGGCTTTCAGAACTGCAGTATTTTCTTACTATGGAATAAGCAGTCGGGATTCCTGAAAACAATTTTTATGTGTAGGGATTTCTCAGGAACACCTTTTATTAGTACTCGAGTAGAGTATAAACTGCATTGCAGAAATTTGTTCATTTTAAAATCTACTTAGCAAATATTATCATGGCAAATACCCAGGAAAACACAGCTGCTCAGACCTCTGGTAGTCTATCCAAATTAAATATTGTGTTTGAAACTTTGTTTAAAAAAAAAACAATGAAAGTTACTATGTAGTACAAGACAAGGGCACACGTAGCCGTGCTATATTGAAAAATAAAAAATAAAGACCACTGATGATTTTAAAACAATACCAGTGCTTGAAATATTCATCTCATTCCTGCAATAAAGCAAACGTGATGCTTTGAGACAAGCCTCATATCTAAAAATATATCTAAAATTACAGACACAAAAATATGCATTCTGCATAGGGTGCCTACTTATATAAAGGGAGAGAAAATAAATGTTCTTTTTTTTTTTTTCCCCAACCACTTGGTTTGCTATTGTAAAATTATTCTAGAAAATGGATTGGTCCACAACATTTTCTTTCCAGGAGGCCTGCAGGAAAGATGAGGCTAGGCTATAGCACCATTTAGATAAACCAATACAGAATGTCTAGGTTGTTCCAGGCACATACTTTAAAAGGGCCATTGCAGCCACTCCAAGCAGCCTCTCTTTGCTTCTTCATAATATCTACTGGTATTTCCCATTTTTTAATATCTACTTTTTGGCTTTCCTCGCCTTTAGGCAGCCTAGTGTGTTTGGGAGTTTCAGCAGAAGCAATAATGCACGAAAGCAGACTTTTCACGAATATTTACCTTCGGCGAGCATGTCCGGCACATCTGCTTGGTATCTCGGCCCCACTCTGATTTCTCCCTTGTCTGCTAAAAGTGTTTTTAGTGATGGATCATAGACCAATGAATAAAAAAAGGTATCCTAAAAAAAAAAAAAAGAAGACACATTTGCAACAACATAATGAATTTTACGTTATTTTTGTAAATCTACAAGTTCTTCCATTTGAAGATTACTAAAGCTGTCCCCCTCACACCTCCCATGTCTTTCTTGAGGGCAGAGGTCAAGTAGAAGAACAAAGACTATGGAATATCAGTCCTTACTTTTAAAAGTCTGACAGAAGATTCTTCCATTGTTCAGAAGCTAACGGTGGTACAGAGAAGAGACCTCTATACAACAATGTATTAGAGATTTTGAAAAGCAAAAATGGTGACTACTTCCTGAATTAAACATGATTCCTTTCCTAAACACCCCTACCTGGCTTTTATAAGCTAGTCTCAAACAGCATAAGACACTGCCAATGTCTGTAGAAGGCCACACAACAGTATCCACATCTCTGGCACTGTCAGCAGAAACAGAGGGTAAGCAATTTAAGAGATATAATATAGGTCACTTAGATTAATTGAAGTTTAGTGTATGAATATGAAAATAAAGAAATGCTAATTTCAGCTAAAATGCCCTGCATGATGCTCTATTAAAAACTCCAAAGAAAAATGTATTTATTGTAAAAGAACTTTAACAATATGTATTAGCTTCCTGGAGCTTCTTACTTTTTGTTTTGTTCTTCCCTCTAGAGTAAGGCTAAACTTCCTTTCCCTCCATAACAAATGGAAAGGAAATAAGAAATACTTCTCATACCGCAGTTCAGAGCCCCTAAAATTAAACTCCTATGCTGAGTTGCCCTCTAGAGGAGTGTTTCCGTCCACTGACTGGAAACCAGATGTTTTTACCAGAACACCTTTCCACAGAATAGGGCTGTGTGGATTCCCCTTACACTAGCCACTAGGTGAAAACATTTGATATATTTTTCTTTCACGATACTTGTTTCACAATGCTTTTGAAATTAGTGTTTTCAAAAAAACTTAAACATTTGAAAAAATACTCCCAAGATATTATTCATTAAAAATAGCGCTGTAAAAATCACAACTCCATCCCAACATTTAAACACGTATTACCTCTTTCTCCAGATACGACAACACAGACTCCGTCTCATTCAGGAGCGCGACACTGCATTTTCCCCTGTACACAGACATAAGAACAAACTGTTACCTTTGTAAAAACTGTTTTTTTCCCCTCAAAAACCTAGTCAAAAAGCCAGTTACCAGAATATAACAGAAATAACCTCTTACATTCAAAACATAAAATGCATTTCACCATGTTTTAAAAAAACAAATGACAAGCAACAAAATGAATAGCGCTCAAAAACACACACAAGTTCTAAAATACTGGGAAAGAAAGTTTGAAAGGAAAACCAGAAGCAATGAAGGAAAGAGGTATCAGGGCAAACAATATTTGTTAATACTCTGAAACACAAACGCAATTAATTAGAAAAGAATTTAACAGAATATCAGCTATTATACCATGTGCAAAAGCAGAAAGGTAAACAGGTACATAATGTCGGAGGAAGGCCTGGATACAACGTTCACAGGGACAATTCCATTTTCTGTGGAACTCCAAAGTCGTCTTTTTCAAAGGATTTGGTAAACGCCAACACAGAGCACCTCCTCTTGAACTTTATGATGCAAACTCTAACCACCTCGCAGCTCTCACGAATCTTATCCTGATCCCCCTGGTCACTATCAGTGTGACCTTTGCCTGAGGGGTTGGTTTGGCTTTGGGTAGGTGACGCTTCTGAGAGCACCCAAGGCAGTTACTTTCTTGCAGGGGAAGTCATCAGCACTTGCAAGATAAGGAAATTTCAATATTTACACTGCAACTATGAATTAGTTTTATTGATCCATGGGTAACACTGGGGAAAGCAACAGTTTTTTTTTTTTCTCCTTATGCCACATCTGCAGGTACTGCAGAAGTTGGCCGGGTTGATAATACTAGAGAAAGACTAGTTTAATGTCTTTCTGAAATGTGGTTGATTTAATTACTACTCTCCTGATTCTTACCTACAAAGAACAGCTTTTTAAATACATTGTTTTGATTTTCTAAACACAAGATTTGGTATAAAACACCAATAACAAAACTTGATTAGATCAGCAGCATCAGCTCACGTGTACGTGCTAAAATCATTTTTTAAGATTAAAAATGAAAATGTAAAAAATACATGTTACGTGGGTAACTAACATTTCTCAAAGTGAGGACACAAAAATGGCTTCCTAAGGCTCCATAGGAAGCTCCTGAGGCTGAGCAGGTCAGGATTACTGAGAGACTCTGGAACCTACAAGAATACTCAGACAGAAAATTCCCAGGGTAAGTTCTACTGAGAGGTCATTCCAATGCAGCTTCTCTTTGCACAAACATTACCTCAAATCAGACACTGTGCAATTTGCATCATCCTATAAACCGACAGAACCAATAAACAGCAATTACCACCACACATTTATGCACATACACACGGGACATGATCTGGTCGCCCCCCTCACTAATTTAGAAGGTGGCAGCGAAGGGATAGAGAGCGCCCAGAGTTAGCATCCCCATAAGACAGCAGAAACCTTAGCAGTAAGCAAGTCTGACTACACACATGGGAAAGAAATAAAGGCAGTCACTGAGAAAACTAAGGTTAATCCAACTCTCCAATATATTATTAAAGTACTACTCATATGCTGGTACTTACTAAAGAACAAGTACAGTAAAGCCCAGTTGCTATGGACTAATATGAGAAGAGAAAAATTTTACATCCAGATAATGGTATGAATTTATTTTAAACCTCAAAACAACATTACAAAAAAAAAAAAAAAAGACATATGGAAAGAAAAACAATATTTCTCATTTATCTTAGAGAATACGAATGGCAAATAGTATTGCAAGAGAAACATCTATAAATAGTAAGAAATAAATAACATGAAAAAAAGAGACATTCCATAATAAAGTACAAAATATTTCCTCTTTGCTAAATAATAACAGATCAAATGGGACTGCTGATAAAGCAAATGACTTGCACTGGGTTATACCACAGGGGAATTCTGCCCAAAACGGCGCTAAGGGCACAGGAAACTGTCCATCCACTATCAAAGAAGAAAGAAAAAGCAGAAGTTGGTCCAGAACAGACCTCTGCAATGGCTGGTAGGGTTCTGGGCTGCTCAGCCTTCAACTCCTAGCCTCGGTCAGCTTGAGGCAGAAACCGCTGCAAGGACAAGGCCAAGGGACAAGGCCAAGGGACAAGGCCAAGGGACAAGGCCAAGGGACAAGGCCAAGGGACAAGGCCAAGGGACAAGGCCAAGGGACAAGGCAGCAGCTGAGGGCGGCTGAGCACCCAGGGAAACCCGAGCAGGGTTTCAAGGCTGAGAAGTTCCTACAGAGTGGCACAACACCCGGTATCTACACATAAGAAAAGCTGCTATGCCTGAAAGATGTTGCCTGGCCAAGCAAAGGCAGGTCTCTGCTAATGGGTGGGATTCACATTCATTTATTTTGGCATTGTATGTATATACGTATATATATTTTTTGAGTGTGGATTTTTTCAATTAGGATTTTCACTATATGAGCAGTGGATTGAAAGGAATGTTTATGGATTATTAACCCCACCTAACCCCTGCTATTATCACTGAAGCAGGCTGCCTATCCCTGTTGCTAGTCCTGCTCGTACTGCCCAGCTCTTTGTCTTCATATTACTAGGTTAAGCAAGTCCAGCTTTTCAAGTCACTGCCTCATAGAACGGGCTCCTTTTTCCTTTATATTACCTCACAAACCCAGTTTTCATCAGTCACCAACTTTTAAAACAGAGGACCAAAACCAAAACACTACAAGCTTTTATCAATGCACTGGAAACATTTCTCCTAATTAACCATGAGGGTGTATCCATTTCTGTCATGGCCATACTATAACACTAACTACAGCATTTCCACAAACGCTGCCAGCAGGAAATTTCCCCTTTTACAGAAATGGTACAGATCTATCCAGGCATAATATACAAAGGTAACACCATGGGAATTTGGCCCCACCACCCCCCATTTCTCTTCTCTTTCTTTCTAATCCTCTTCATCTCCCAGCACACACTCAGCCTCAGATCCCTCTGCCTCTGACTTCCCTACAAGTAATCTGTGGATTTATTTTCAAAATGTGGCATTTTAGAGGAACACAGAATAGCTAGATGAGGATGTTAAGTATTCAATATGCTGAACCACCTCATTAACAACTGGCATTTGAACACTATCATTTTCAACTGCATTACCATTTTATTGCCATGTATTCGTCCTTCCAGACGTGACTTTGCACTTCATACACCTAAACCTGTTCCAATGATTTATTTGGTTCTCGCCATGAGGCTCCAGTGCCACATGAGAACAGGACCTACAACACCCTTCATTCTGCCATTTATAACAGACCAGTATATAAGCAAATATTAATAAACAAACTGTTGGCAAAGACCTCCTTGATTTTAAAGCTGATCTCACCCGAAGGGGCTCTTGTGAAAGGCCCCCACTCATTTCAGTGACTGTTCAGCTTAAGCGCAAGCACTGGCCGCCAGTTGTTAAGAGCCGATCGCTGAGCAAACACAGGCAGTTACTGCCCCATTCGTTACCGCTGCACATCATGGAAAATGGCAATAAGCCACTCATGAACCTGCAGCACAAAACCTCCTCATTCTCTCTTACTTTCAGTGTACTGAAATACACCTTTTGCTTTCAGAAAGTATACATAAATTCACTTCTTTGGATTTCTTTTTCCCTTTTGTAATTCCAGAGCAATGTCTCCTAAAGATTGATTACACACCATACAAAAAAATGACATTTAACTTGAATTATTCCAGGGCTGTTTCTTCAATATCATTGAATTCTCCTGAAAATCATCATATTCTCCTGAAGAATATTCATGAGAAGACAAAGAAACCCAACCAATTCGCTGCTGAAACACCACAAATCAATTTTAGCAAAACTGCTAGGGCTGTGTAGTAACTAACCTTACACCTTAAAGCTAGTAATTTTCCAAATTTCATTTTAGTTCCTTAATTGAGTAATCTAACCACAGCACATGTATATCACACCAAAGAATTTCCATATTATGGCTTATTTCTTTATACAGTCATGATGGCTGGAGTCATAAGCATGGATAATATATAAGACACTATCGTCCTAAAAAAAAAAAAATAATAATTTGCCAGACTATTTAGTCAAGATTAAATGTGTCAAGATTAAAAGTGACATGTTACCAGCTTCTGCAACCCAGAAAAGGAACAAAACAAATTTCATACAAATGATGATGAGGAGATAGAGCCTAATAAGGCTTTGAAGATTGAAGACAAAAAAGCTGGGTCTGAGTGAGCTCAAGCAGAGGAAGAGGAAACATGAAGGAGCATAATTCAAACAAGATCATGATAGTGATCAGCACTCAGAACAGCCAGATATACGAGAAGAGAGTCTTTATTAATTTATGTTAATGAAGACAACATGAATAGAACTAGAACAAGACTTCAAGTTATATGAAGAAATGTTGTATCAAAGACACTACACGGTGTTATGACAAGAGTTAGATTCAGCCTTACGAAAGAACGTAGAGCAAAGCACCAAATTCTCCAGAATATGCATTTAATACATATCTGGCAAAAAAGACAGCTCTATAATTTGGAGTATTCAGGTAACTGTCTTCCCCCCATTAACACTATCAAAAGTGCTTGTGAGGAAAATTTGATTTTTTTAATGTCTTTTTTACATATCCTATTATTTCAATGACAGCTGAAGATTATACTCAAGATACAAAATGAAGGAGGGCAATAATGCTTTTTTGGAGAAAAACAACTCAGGAGAAGTGATTCTCCTATTTGCAGAAGGTGAAAAGAAGAGAAAACAGGAAAATTGCTGAGCACAAGAGAAGAAAACTGCCGTAAGGTAAAAATTTTGAGCCATGTCTTCAAAGGGAAAATGTTTTGAAGATTTCCAATAACGCAACCACTTTGAGCCAAGTCTTCACTCCTTCCAAGCAGAGATGATCACGAACCACAGCCTAGGAGCTGTGGAGTCCTGAGAGCCTCTGCCACCTACCTGAAACCAGCTCCTCGCTTATGAGACACCAACAGCAGCAGCCCTGGTGCATCCTACTTTGAGGTGTAACTTTAGGGACATAGTATGATG